ATATGCCAAACACAGTAACAATAAATTCTCCAATGGAGACGTTACTGGGCCCACTCGAGCAAATCGATGAACAACGGGAGGTTGATGAGATTATCCAAGCAAAATGCCCCTAACTATAGAGAGAGAGTATCTGAACAGTTTTCTGCTGTAGGGGCAGGGTAAGGACTGAGATGGAAATGGAGGGGATAACGGGGATATTGGTAGTGGAGAGTTTGCACTGGTGGAGGGATAGATGATTGATGATTGTATGGCTGAATATTAAACATGAAAGTTTTGTTACAGTGTATCACGTTGTCTCAATAGCATTTTTTAAAAAAAATTCCTGACCTTTGTTTTGTTTACCAATGTAAGGTCTACGTATGAGAATATTTTCAGTGTATCTGAGAAGAATGTGTGTTTTAGTGTAATGAGTTGGAAAGATTTATATCTAGTAAATTCTAGAGATAAAAGATAAAGACGTTTATCTAGTAAATTCATCTAATCTAATTTGCCATTTAGTTCCATTGTGTCTTTGATAATTTTCTGTCTGTGTGATCTGTCCAATGATGTAAGTGGGATTTTAGAACTCAGTTGCCATTAGTTCCTCTCTTTAGATCTGTTGATATTAATACATTTATTTTATACTCCCATACTGGTCATGTATACACTAATGGTAATTATGTTAGCTTAATGTTTTAATTCTTTTATGTATATATGTAAAGCTTATTTTTTCTATTGTTATATAAACTGAAAGTTTAAAAGTCTGAAAGTCTATTTTTACCTCATAGAAATATAGTTGTTCTGTTTTAAGATTTTCCCTATTGGCTTGCTGTACCTTTCCTCTGTATCTTTACTTTTGCTCTATAATTGTCCTTATAACTTTTAGGTGAGTTTCTTGATAGAGCATATGGTTAGGGCTTATTCTTTACTTTAAATTTGTTTATTCATCCAACTCAGTTGGCAGTAATTTGGTTGCAATAGTGAAGGGATTTGGTACTGACAGTGAGATAGAAAAGTGACATCTAGACATCATGGAGGAGTTAGGAGTGTATTTAGGGTCCAGTAAGAGTGGAGTTGAGTCTGGGGAAACCCCTTATGGGAATGGCTACTAAGATCAATAAAGTCTCTTTGAACCCCAAGCATGTGCAGACATGACCAACTGATGTCTTCAGTTTACTCATCTCATTAACTGGTCATTATAATACAAGTGGCATTTTGGTTTTGCCTCCTTAGTGGGCTTTTATGTGTGCATTATGGGTAATCACATGCACATATACAATTTGATTATGCACATGCACCTGTCAGGCAATAACCTCAGTTTCACCTAAAATTCCTCCACAAAGTGACATAGTCACCTATTTTACTCTAAAGTTACAGTATAAAGGCAGAACTCTATAGGCAAGACAGGGTTGGTTATAACTTACGCTGTCAACCCACTCCTACTCTTTTGGAGTGCTTGAAGCTCACTTGCTTCATTGCTACCAAGCCTGTCTGTGTCATCCTCTTAATTATGCATAAGAACTAAGACTTCTCATCTACCAAGAACACCTGGAAATGTTGTGGTGATGCCCTGATAGCCAGGTGTCCTCCCTGTGATGATACAAAATATGAGAAGATTCAAAACTTGTTGCTTTTAAAAAGGATGCTATCACAATTGCATCATATAAGCAGATTCAAAAACTAAAGTGAAAAAAGAGAGCAAGGGTAGAATACTTCAAGGACCACAGAATGAAGAACGTGGTTATGGAAAGTTTCTTGGGAGACATAAGAAACCTGAGCTTTAAAGAATGTTTAGGGAATGAGTTCTGCAATTGTATGTGGATGTTTGGTCACAAGAAACTTGAAGGGTTTCTTGAATGTGATTCAGTGATGAGAGTATCATCTGCATCTGGGAAGAACCAAACAGAATGCCCTAAATAGGTATGCTGTTTTGTAGGATCACTCTTCTTCAACTCATAGTCAGAATCTCCTTGTTGACCCAATAATGAAGAAATATGCCCACCCTGAACCCAGAGGTTTCAATTTTTTCTGCAGCTCAATCTACTTGCCTTACAGGTTTGTCCGGGGTTTTGTTCCTATTTTTATGTGTGTGTTTGTTTGGGGGCCACATTTTGATGTGCTCAGGGCTAACTCCTGCCTCTATGCTCAAGGATTAATCCTGGTGGACTCTGGGGACAAGATGGTGTACCAAAGGTTGTACCCCAGTCAGCTAAGTGCATCAAAAGCTCCCTACCTGCTGTGCTATTGCTCCAGTCCCTTGATTTTGGTCTTCATTCATTCAGGCACTAATCAGCCTTTTGATGAATCAGTGTGCTGTTTAACATTTATTAATATATGAGGGTTTTATTGTCTTCCTGTTTAAAAAATTTGAATCATTATATACAGTTACAAAGTGTTCATATTTGAATTTCAGTCATACAATGATCGAACACCCATCCCTCCACAGTGCACATTTTCCACCACCAATGTCCCAAATATACCCCCCCAACATTCTAACCCTTCCCCTGAGTCTATGGCAGACAATTTCCCCCATAAACTCTCTCTACTTTGGGGAATTATTGTTTGCAATACAGATTCTGAGAGGCTATCACGTTTAGTCCTTTATCTACTTTCAGCACACGTGTCCCATCCGGAATGATCCCTCCAACCATCATTGACTTAGTGATCCTTTCTCTCTTCCAGCTGCCTTCTCCCCCAGCTCATGAGGCAGGCTGCCAACCATGGAGTGATATTCCTGGCCCAGTCTCTACTGTCCTTAAATGTCAGTCTCATATTTTTATGTTATTTTATATTCCACAAATGAGTGCAGTCATTCTATGTCTGTCCCTGTCTTTCTGACTGTGAGGGTTTTCTTATGACACTTTCATCCATCATTTTCGCTTATTAAACATCTCCCTTTCTTTCTCCTCATTTATCTACCTGCCACTTACTATGATATATTATATATGTCATATATATTATGAAAGACTTGTATGTTGTTTTTCTTCATTTATTCTTTAATTATAACTCACTTTCCTGATCCATATCCTTGTTTCATGGTTACCAAGGACTATTTCAGTCAGAAGAAAAGAGAAGTGACTACTTTTATGACTTCTTTTATGGCTGACTCTGAAAAAATTTAACTATATGCTCAAATTTTATTTCACAAGTGTTAGAATGTGTGATGTCCATCTTCTGGATCTAGGTTCTGGAGGTTTTGGACCTGAAGTTTGTAATATAGCTGCTCCTCCACTCAGCAGATTCAGTGGTCGATTGACTTGAGGACCACGAGTGGCATGGAGCTGAATTGGGGCAGAAGGGATAGTACAGTGGGTAGGGTTTTGCCTTGCATGTGGCCAAATCAGGTATGATTCCCAGCATCCCATATGGTCCTCTGAGAACCGCCTGGAGTAACCCCTGAGCATTGCTGGTTGTGACCCAAAAAGCTATCAGACTGAATTGACTACTGGAACCTGAAGAAGACCAACAGTGCCCAGTTGAGTATTGCCATAGAATTTTCTTATTAGACAAAACAAGTACTCCCATTGAAAATCAATAAAGGAAATGATAATGAAAATAAGAAAAAAGGAGCATTGTATTTAAAGAAACTGTACTTACAGATTGTATAAACCAACTGACCAGAGTTGGGTAGAGAAACTGAAATAGACCCTGAATCTACTGCCTGAGGAATGGTTTTGAGCTCCTTGGGAAAATGGGGCCGATCCGATCTTTAATGGACAACTCTGAGACTGAGAAATTATTAGTATTACTTGGAATTTAGACAGTGATGAGGATTATTTTCTTATTCCTCCTTAAGTGCTAATACATATGGGATCGTTTTTAATGAGATATTCATAATAACATAGTGGCAATGAATATAGAGAATGGTAGGATGTACTGGAGTGGTTTGTGGGCACTGATGGATATTGGCACTGTATTAATACACATAATGTTGTCATCAGTTAATGTTTGCGGTTGTGTTCATCAACAGCAAGGAGACACCTTTAGGGGAGTTGTTATTGATCTTTGTGAATGTGTAAGGAGAGTCAAATATTTTGGATTGGGAGATATGCTTAAGAGCCAGGGACTCACAAATCATTCTTCATGTATCTCCTTTTGTTGTCTCTTGGATAGTGAGATTTCACGAAACAAGAGCTAGGTACATTAATTTTAATTTCTAATTATTTACTGAGAGTCCTTAAAAATATCAAGTGTAATCTGCATAGATATCTCCCTTTGCCCTTTTTACCCTTTTCTTTCTAGGAAGGTTTGGGAAACAGAACATTGGAGGACAAGGTACGTATTGGTAATCAGATTTAGCATAGAGATACCAATTGGTTGGGTGCTAAAGGTCTCAAAAAATTCTGGTAATTGAATCTGAAAGATTTATGGTATAGAAAAGTGTCAACAAAGGAAGATCACTCCTCTATGTTCCATGACATTGTAGTTATTTATGAATGAATTCTTTGGCTTGTTTATGATATCTAGACACGATTACTGTTAATCTCAGGTGCATAATTTCTTTATTTTTTTTTCTTTCTGGGTCACAGCCAGCAATGCAAAGGGTTATTCATGGCTCATGCACTCAGGAATTACTCCTGGCAGTACTCGGAGGACTATATGAGATGTTGGGATTAGAACCCAGTTGGCCGCATGCAAAACAAACCTTGCCCATTGTACTATCGCCCAGCCCCAGGTGCATAATTTATTAGTGAAGAAAAAGAGCAAAACTTATTTTATAGAATCTATGATTAAATAATTTTAAAAACTAAATTGTTACGTAGAGTTTTCTTTATATAATAAAAGGTTTGTATACAGCAAAGTGAATTGAAATATAATTCATACATAGCCTTTTGTAAATTTAAGGTATATAATATGTTGACTCCCTATTTTTATGTATTATGATTTATCTATAATTTAACACAGTTATCATTATTTGTTTATAGGAAATAATAAACACAATCTTCGAGCAAGTTTGCAGCCATTTTCTTAGTCTATGACTTTGCTGAATTTTTTTTATTAGATATCAAGTATCAAATAGAGCGGGTGGTGTTCGGTTATCTTCTAACTATTCTGGAGATATCATATCCCACATATTCTTTTCTCAGTTAAAGATACTGAAGGACCAAACTTCTCAGAGCTTTTACTTGCTGACTATATTTGTTCATTTTGCTACTGAAGGAATTCCATAATTTGCAAAGCCTGAGAATCTGTTTTATTTTTAGAAATCCTTCTTTCGGCAATTTTATGCAATTTCTTCTTCATCTGTGTTCTTTCCTTTGATTCAATGTTTATTTTTATGCCCTCCATGTACTGGTGGATGGCAGCATATTCACACTTCATTTCATAGAGCTGGAAGTTGCCATATAGTAAATGGAGATTTTGCTTAGCTAAAGGAGGAAGTTCTTTTTTGAATTCTTGTTGGAAGTAATGTTCTGCTTCATTGTACTCACCTGCTATTCTACAGAGGAAAGCAAGATGAAGGTTGACCTGTGAGGGATTTCTGTGGTTATCACCTTTCTTAAGATGATATATACCTTGTTCTATTTGGTACTGTAATAATTTGTCACTTTCTTGACACATTTCATTATTTCCGCAAACTTTTTTGAAGACTTTTTCTTTGTAGCAAGAACCAATATTGTAGTGTATGCGAGTATTGTTTGGCAACATTTCTGAAGCCATTTCAAGCAGCTCTATAGATTTGTCCAGGTCTCCTCTAGTTCGAAAAAACTTGGCTGCTTTTTGAAGCATACCTGCTTCATATGGTCCTTTCTCCAAAAATTCTTCAACTAACTTCTCTCCTTCAGCATTATTCATCTTCTGAAGCGTCAGAGCCAGGAGTAATTTAACATACATGTTATCAGGATTCAGTTCAACGGATTCACGCAGAAGATTCATGACATTCACAGGTGCTGGACACTCACTTTCACGGTGCCTTGCAATGGCCAGTCCACTGGCAAATTCTGGGTCATGTGGATGTTTTTCCAGAGCCTTCTCAAAGCACACTATGGCCCTTTTTAATTGGCTGTTGCCACACTTAAGCCGTGCCCACCCTTCCTCAGTGTCCAGCTCAGGACACTCCAGACTGAAAGGATTTGAAAACTTCTCACACACCCGTTTCACCTTGTCAACATAAGCCTGAGCTTCTGGGAGTCTGCCCAGGTGATAGTAGACCCAGGCATAGTTTCCCCAGGTCACCAGGTTCCTGACTTCTGCCTGGTCAGAGTGCTCTTGCTGGAGTGACTCTTCAGCCTGCTGTAAGCATTCCAGGGCCTCCTCGTCCCGACCATCTAAGTGTTTCATGTAGGCCAACAAGTTGTACATTGTACCTTTGGACTCAGAGTATGAAGATTCAATCTGCTCACGCACTCTCTCTTCCAGATCCTCTGGGACATCCTTTTCCTTAAATAAATTCCACGTGAAATGACATTTCAGCTGGAGAAGGATTTGTTGCAGAGAACAGTTGGCCACACTATGAAGAAAATAAACATGGTCACTGTGATGCGCTTGCCAAGCACTGCAACATGTGATGAAATTCCAGGTTAATTTGGTGTCAACTCTGCTGGGCCATGGGATGCCCAGATATCTAGTCAAGCATTTGTTCTGGTAAATATTGAGGAGTTTTCCAAAGGGAATTCACTCCCTTAGTTCCCAAATGGACTAAAGGGAGAAAGGAAAGCAGCTATCAGATACTTGTTGAGGGGCTGAGCAGAATCAAAGGCAGAGAAAGGCTGGATCAGTGCCGCTGGGCTGCTGATGCTGGAACATAGTTTCTTCTCACTCAATAGGAAGTTAAAGCACAGTGCTCAAGTTTACATCTTCTGACTTTGTGGGACTATAATACAGGCTTATTGAGTCATAAATTGTATACCTATGTATTTCTTTATTGGCAATCTTCTAGCTAACTCTGCCTACAACACACACCAACATTTTCCAAAAGATCAATTAAGATGCATTTCTTTTCTCTTTCCTAGAGATATGCTCTGTACAAAGACTCACAAAGAAGCTCCCTCACACTGTGAGGTTGGTAGATGAATGAGGCTGGTGGCTTTCTGGGATTTTGATAGAAGTGTTAGACTTTTCTCCACCCTAAGCACAGTCATACCTGTGCTCAATATCATGTTTTGGGAGTCGAGGACTGGAATGAGTTCTTGACTCACGCAAAATGATGAGGTCTTAGTTTAGGCCTAATAGTGGGACCTTGGGAATGGGACCAAAATAGGGAGAACTTGAAGTCTTGTGTGCGTGCCTAGGCCTTGGCTCATACACCAATCCAAACATACACACATCTGTAAGTATTCTTTGTTCTGTTCTGTATAACAGGAGGTACCCCTGAGGGAGCAAACTAGTAGGAAGTGAAAAGCAGTGAGCTAAGGGATTCTTCACACTTCTGCTGCCCCTGGACACCAAGATGATGCTAGAGAGGCCAGGGAGGGAGAGATGGTGGCTTGAAGCCCCAATCCCTGAGAGAGAGTGTGAGCAGATTGCAAAGCAACGGATCAGCATACATGCAACTAAGAAAGAGAGGGGGCGGAAAGAAACAGAGAGAAAGGGAGAGTGCAGTGAGCTGCCAAGGTCAGTGCTGCCAGAAAGGACTATTGTTAGGAGGATCCTGAGACAGAGTGTGTGGAGTTGAGAGCCCTGAGACAGTGCACAGCTATAGGAAAGAGAATTTTATTTCTGCTGTAGTAATAACAATGAAAATGTGCAAAGCTCCAACCGTAGATTTCCTCCCCTCCCCCAAGGCTGGGAATTACCTAGGAATATCCCAAGTACCGCATGTCAAGCATCAAACTTTCTAGCCAATAGGCGTAGTATCCCTGGATATATCTCTTGGGTCCCTTGAGAACTGATTCCACTATCCCCCACCCACCATAACTCAGTGCTTTGTGTCAGTTTTAGAGACAAGGGAATGAACCTAAAGCCAGGGAGAAGAGCGGGACTATTGCCAAGGTTGTTGTTCTCTTTATATATGTCTTGCAAGTCCTTATTATTCTCTTCCTGGTCCTTTGGATAGACCACCACGCTGCTAATGTTTTAACTCTCCAGTTAGGATTTACCAACTAGTTCTGACCTAATAATTCTATCCACCTTTTACAAAGGTATACAGATATAAAGTAAGAATTCCATCATGAGGAAATCAAATTAAGGCTAGGATACATAAATGACACTCAGCAGACTTATTTATAACTTTAAAAAAATAATACCCTATTAAGTTGAGCAAACTAGAACAAGTGGATACATTTCTATAAGAATTCACCCTACCAAGACTGAATTATAAAGAAGTCTAGAGAAATAAATTACTAGGGTACATGTTGGCCAAACCACATAGATTAAAAAAACTCTATACCAGAGGTTTTATGGTGAACTATGAAATATTAAAGAATTGATAGCAATACTTCTTAAACTTTTGCAAATAATAGAATAGGATGGAACGCATAAAACTCATTTTACAGGGCCAGTGTCAGGCTAATATCAACACCAATGAGGACATTCTAAGAAAAAAATTTAATAAAATCATAGGGCAGAATATTAAAGTATAAAAACAAACTACATTCTTTGAGTTAATAACTATCAGAAAAAGAAAATTTCCTCACAAGCAAACAGTGCCACTCATAACAGAATCTAATTAATAAATTCCAAGGGGTAAATCTAACCAATTCATGAAAGATATATACGTTAAAAGGTACTAGATATTTCACTCTTTCAGAAAATTGGAAGTGCTATTTTCTACGAGGCACTGGAATGATCAGAGGGCTGTTGTACCCACAAATGCAATCACAGAGTGCTTTCTATTTGCTCACTTGAAAAAAGGTAGATTTCCAGTGGTTGCTGAGTTAATTTTTTTCCGAGATGGGCGTAGCATGTCAGATAAATTTGGAACCTCTTAGAAACACAAGAAAACACACAAAAAAGGAAAGATAACCTTATCGATAAATTAGAAGAATTACTATTGTTAAAATAGCCATACCACCCAAAGCAATCAACAGATTTAATGAAATCACTATCAAATTCCCAATACACCAAGAAATCTGAGGAGAATCCAAAGCTGAGGGCATCATATTTCTGTTTTCAAACTAATTTTTTTAAAAGTCATAATCGTCAAAATGGAATGATCTTTGTGTAAAAAAAAAGCATAAATGTTTGAAGCAGTGTAAGAATCCCAGAAATGCATGCACACACATGCATACATAGCTAGATAGATATTTCTTAAATTTATGGAGCCAGAATTTTACTAAAAGAAGAGAAAAGTCTTTTCAATAGATAAATTGGGATTATTGCAGAATGAACACTTACCTTAGTCTAAATACAAAATTAACTCTAAATGGATTTAAATGAAAGACTCCAAACCATAAAATTCTTTTAACAGTACTTTAGGGGAAAATAATTTCACTCATTCTCAGCAAATGTATTTCTAAATCTGGCATATTTTTAGACTTTTTAAACATTTTTATTGAATCACTGTGAGATAGATCCCTACAATCTGTTCATGATCGAATTTCAGTCATACAGTATTCCAATACCCATCCCTCCACCAGTATCCATTTCTCCTCCTCCTCCTCCTCTTTCCTCCTCCTCCTCCTTCCTCCTCCTTCCTCCTCCTCCTCCTCCTCCTCCTCCTCCTCCTCCTCCTCCTTCTTCTTCTCCTCATCCTTCTCACTCTCTCTCAATTTTGCATATTTTTAAAATCACTGCATTAGAAGCATAGCTCAAACCACTCCTATCTACTCATCCTCCAGTGTTCACCATAACGGTCTTCCTGATGTTCATCGATTTGCTGGAGTGGGCCCAGTAACGTCTCCATCATGAGACTTTTTGTTATTGTTTTTGGCATATCGAGTACGTCATGGGGAGCTTGCCAAGCTCTGCCATGCGGGCGAGATACTCTCGGTAGCTTGCAGGGCTCTCCGAGAGGGACAGAGGAATCGAACTCGAGTCGGCCATATTGGCTGCGTGCAAGGCAAACGCCTTTCCACTGTGCTATCGTTCTAGCCCCATCGTCCAGTAACAGTGGTGAATATGGCTTTCATGAATTTCAGATCTCAGCATAGTTATGAAAGCCTTCTGCTGACATTCCCAATTGCTACAGACACATGCAAACATGGACTTCTGCAAAAACTTTTGGGTAAGTTGGATTTCAAGGTCTCCGACAGACAAGGTCTTGTTCTCTGATCAACCCATTCCTACAGACCCAGTTAATGTCACTCATGTCCAGGAGCCTGAATCAGGGCAAAGGGAAACCTGAGGTAAGTAGTACTGGATTCCTTGCCTCAACGCAGTTATGAACCAGCAAAATATTTGAGAATCGTGATCTTCCTTTCCTAAGGCCCTGAGTATCACTTGGACCCATTTCTTTACATGGTCAATCTCTCAACATGTCTTTAGAGACATTTGGTTGGGTAAGGCTTTATTTTTACTCAAGTCTCCTTTTCCCAAGGCTCTCTCTGGTGATGACTTTTAGCATGTAACTATGCACTAAAAATTGAGGTTCACTAAGGTTTTATTTTGTCTAAAAACAAATGCACTTATTATAAGGACTGGAGCGATAGCAGAGCATGTAGGGCATTTGCCTTATATGCGACTGGCCTGGCCAACCCGAGTTTGATTCCTAAGCCCCTCTTAGAGAGCCTGGCAAGCTAACAAGAGTATCTTGCTCGCATGGCAAACCCTGACAAGCTATCCGTGATATATTCAATATGCCCAAAACAGTAACAACAAGTCTCACAATGGAGACATTACTGGGCCCGCTCGAGGAAATCGATGAACAAAGGGAGGACAGTGTTACAGTGCTGAGTTTTGACAAATATATTTATCCAGATACCACCCAACATCCACTCACCTTAGACTCCTTGTGTTATCTGTAAAGTTTTTCCTCTATACTTCCTAATCAATCCTAAACACACTCTGCTCATTCCAAGATACTAAACAGTTCATCGTAGAATAGAGTGGAAAAGATAGCATTGTTGATGCTCACCAACTCTTAGCACATCAATAAAAATAAAGTCTGAATTTTGGTATTATTTTTCACATAGAATTTAGAAATTATCTATGTATAGAAGTTCTTCAATTTAAAGTGATCAAACATTGCAGGGCAAAGCTCCAATGAACATGAATTAAATTTACAACACCAATCCATCTTTGATAATACATGATAAAAGAAACACTTCCTTTAATAATTATAAATTTTGAAAAAGCATTTTCCTTCTCTGTTTAAATAAAACCACAACATAAAAGCCCATAAAGAGTACTCTCAGGTGTAACTCTAAGTCAGCAACCACGGGCTACTCCTGTGAAGCCTCACCCATCCAGACCCTGGTGCCCAGCTCCACTCACTGAAGAATTTAGAAACCTGAATGAGCCTACCACAAACAGCCACAGAAACAAAATGCCCAAATTAATAAAGGAATGTTTCATCTCTAAGACAACACATCTCACTGCCCCCCAGAAGCTGTTTACAATGTGT